AGTTTGATACACCCATCTCCACTCACCTCCGGCTCACCTATCTTCTATACCTTTGCGTGCTTGTGCTGGAGTACGTACTATTATATGTTACGTATCAGGTGGGATATTGTCCTGTCACAGAATCCTACTATGCTTGTCAGTAGACACTATAACCACGGTATAGTGAACTATGCGTTAACCGCGCTGTTTCTATTGGCGCCTATTCAATTTCCAATTAGATTGTCAATTGACACGTTCATTTTAATATTTCGTTACTGGTATTTTTAAATTTATTCAAAGCAAGTTAATTGAGTAAGAAGGGAAAGGGATGTAGAATTAATTAAATTTTGATTAAAGTAACAACGATAAATGCTGCTCATAAAGACCATAATAAATAAGGTTGACGTGAATTAAAAAAGCTGTAGGACATTTAGAAAAGCAAGAAAATTAGTGTGTCAGAGGAGAAAAGTTGTTTAAGTCTGGGATTTTTAATCTTTTAAAATTTAACATGATACCTGAGAGAAACATGACGGGCTCCCCATTTTTAGAGTGGTAATTTTAAGAATAAGATGTATGCCTAGACGATAAAAGTAATGAGATCCATTATAACGACGTGAGTTTTTCCCGGGAGATGTACGCTTCGTTTTTACAGTTTTACATTTTTTTTACCAGGTACAGTTACTTATTTTTTTTTTGTATTTCACTGCCTCTTATTCTCCTTGTTCCACTTGTGCTTGTATCGTACTTGTGTTTCTTATGCTTGAACTTTTTTGTTCTCAGGTATTAATAAAACAAAAAATAAAAGCAATAAAACGAATGGAATTAAAAATAGGTTGCTTTTATTTTCCTATTCTTGTGTTATGTAGCTGGGCCGAGCGATGTCGGAGCCACGCACGCTTTAGATTTATACAACCTGCCGCCTTTGTGAAGTACTTTGCGTTAAATACTCTCAACATGAAACCGCCTACTACTTCAAAGTTAAAATCAAAGTTTTAAGACAAAATAAAACTTTAACGACTTAATACAGATTTCTTTTAAAACATTAACTCCATTATTTTCGTTTTTGTTATTTCAGTTGTGTTACAAAAATTAACACCGTCCCCTAGTTATTAAATTTTTGAATTATATGCTAATTATTTTTATTTCACATAAAAAAATTTTTTCGAGGTGCGACAAAAATTTTTTATTATTTAAATTATTTCCCATCAAATTAGCAACTTTTTTTTGTGTTAATATCGTGTTTCAAGAATTTTAAGTTTTTGAAACTTAAAGACATTGTCAAATTCATAAACGATTAATATAAAAAGAATTTTTTTTTTTTTTTACAGAGTATTCTTTGGAGAAAAAGAGAAACATACAAACAGCTCTATATTGGCATTGATCACTCTTATCCCGATACAAATATTATTTATAAGCATGGATTTGTTCAGGGTGTTGCTTCGGGATAAATTTTTTTTTTTTTTTTTTATTGGGACAGATTTTTTGTGAAGCAAGTTTTTAACGTGGTTTCGTGTTGATAAAAGTTATTTGAAGAAAAATGGTGGTAAAATGGTGTGTTATTTTTATAGCGAAACGAGGATCAACGAGCGTATGAAATTGTGTGACACCTTGTGGGATAAATTGAACAAAAAGTAGGTCAAACTTTAATAGCGGCAAACGGGTGTGATAGTGGACAATTGGAAGATCGGGTGTGCAGAAAAAGTATACAAGATAAAAAACTTATCCTCACGTACTTGATAATTGAATTAAATATATATTCCTCTAAACTGCTTCCTTATTATATTATTATATATATACCTTATTTTCCGATACTTTTTATATTTTTTTTATTTATATTAATATTGATATTGATATTTACCAAGCATGCTTAATTTAATTAATGTAAATAAACCAGCCAATTTATTAAGTAAAAAAAAAAAGTAATGGGTAAATGTAAGTTAGCAATTGATGCGGAATCAAAAGTTTTCTCATACCATCAGGCGTTTCGAGAGTTATATTACTACGATAGTAATATTTAGCCGGAAACGTTGCGAGATCCAAGGAAAAATATTTACTAGATCGGAGTTTGAGTCAGAGGTAAATGCAGAAAATAGTTAAACTATGTGTCAAAGTTTTTGGACAAGCAAACATACCAGATGAGGCCACCGGACCGTGAGGTAAACCTTTGCGCGGCCAAAAAGCCGCAATCTTCGCAGTCTCCGCAGCTTTTTATCGTTAAAGCCCATCCCCATGAAGACGGGCGCCACACGTGATCCGCATTGATACTCCAGTTTGATAACTCCCGTATCTCTAAATGATAACGCTCAGGAGTTTATGCAGTCTCCACCTGACATATAGATTTAAATTTCTTCACTCTCTCCCTCAGATACTTTATTTTATCTTACATTCATGTATTATATTACTCTGCTTCAAATTATAAAAACACTCGCAGGTGACTTGCTTATTTTATTATTAAATATACATTTTATAGTTGATAATTAATTATTAATCATTATACGTTATCCTTGTTCCCTTAAAACTTGTGACTTATGACTTTTAAATAAAAACGTCAACCACTTTTTTGAGCACGTGACAACTGTTCAAAACTTATTTTAAAAAATAAAAAACACCCTGCTAAACATTTTTTGAGCATTAAAAATTTTAAGGTCACATTTTGTACTTTACAAAATTTTTCTACTTAAAATTTTGATAAAAAAGTTTGATATAGTATTTAATTTTGAGGGATACACGAGTATGGGCTCAGCGATCCTGCGGGTCGCAATTCACGCGAGTGACTGTCGTTTTGGTTGATAGCTTCAGTTATGCTGGAGGGATGCTGCTAGGTAGGGTGAACAGCGCAAGATCTACCCCCACACGGAAGCACCCTTTCCCCTACGAATCAGTTCTACAGAAGTACTCTATTTTACTCATACAACTCAAATCGCCTATTTGCATATTTTTTCTTTTTATCCATCAATCTTTCAACATGATCATTATTATCATTTAATGATAATCATCATTTAATTGTCAATTTATAATTAAAAACTATCTTAAATTTAATATTTTTGATTATTTTTTTCAATCAAGATAATTAAAATATTTATTAGATGTATTTTTATAAATTAAAAATAAAAATTGCGAAATGTCGCTAATTTATAACAATTTTTGTGTATAATTTTCATGTTGGATTTGCTAATAAATTCATCTGTAATCAAAATAATATAACTTTCGTATTTACTAATTAATTTCGAGAAATAAATCGATGAGATTAATTAATAGTATATTACATACCTAGGCCAGTAAAATAAGAAAAGTCTCAGACCACATGTAATTGTTGGCCGAGGCGAAGCCGAGGTTGACAAACATGTGGTCTGAGGCTTTACTTTTTACTGGCCAAGGTGTGTATACTATTTTTCTGCTCGACGTAGCCGGAATGTGGCAACTTTGTTTAGCGCAGCGGCCAGAAAGTTGCCACTTTCCGGCCGGAGGGCAGAAAAAAAATTTTTCCTAATAAAATAATCATTTCCTCTAGCGTTTGTTCGCTTATTTAAACTTGGTCTTAATACACATTTAATATATTCATATAATTTGATTAAAGTTTGTTATTTTTGTTAACCTAACGAGCTGTTTATTTTTGTATAGTTTCATACACGGAAAGTTAACAGATGTTGTGAATAAAATTATCATTATTTGTAATTTAAACAGAGGTGAAAATGCAAACTGAGTTTCAGATGGCGGCATGAAATCCTCGTTATAAGTGAGATAATATCCGTTATAACTATTGTGTAGGATTATAACAACATATAACGGGTTCGTTATATGTTTGGATAGACCAATTAGAACGAGTCAGCACTAGCAGACTGAGTATCAGAAACAAACTAAAAATCCAATTGTATTTTTCTATTTGTATTATTTTATTTTCGCTTATACTTGTTTCATTTTTTAGTCCTCCCCTCCATTTTTTTTTTATTCAAACTTTTTTATTTTATTTGTACCGGTTCATTTTCCTACGGTGAAACAATTATTTACTGTTATCGCGGTTTATCCTCTCTTCTTTATGCATGTCTAAAAACACACACTTACACATGTTTATTTGTATGCAAAAGGCTCTCTGTGCTTGCGGATCCAATTACTCGATTTTCGCGAACATGATCTCTCACTTTATTCAAGAGCTTTGTGCATCGTTCATGTCATTTTATTTTATTTTTTTATACATATCATTTTTTTAGTACATTGTTACGTTATTTACTTAAAAAAACTGCTTTCATAATATTAATTATTAAAAACTGATTTTTTTTTAAACTCACAATCAATATTGGTTCACAGCAATTTTCGCACAATTTTTTTTAATAAAGATTGAACGTAATTTTATAATTAAAAAAGAAGAATGAAGAAAAAAACGCCACTGGTTTAAAAGATGTTGAAATTTTATTCAATCGAATAATTTTTTTAATTAAAAAGATATTTATTTAGCTCAAGCAAATATTTAGTTAATGAAAAAAAAATAATCATCCAGTGAATATATTTCCGGATTTATTTTTTTTTTTTTCATTTTTCTGTAAGTCAAGATAGGGATAATTATGTAGAAATACGATCTAAGAACTTTCGAAATAAAAAAAATAATTAACTTCATTAATTTTTTTTTCTTTGAAAATATTATATTTCACAATTAAAGTAATCAAAAAAAAAAAAAAAAAAATGTAGAAACGAATTTAAAAACAAAAATAGTAAACTTGTATTTTATGTCAATACTTTCGTATTATTAGATCTATATAACTATTATACAACGTGCAATGACTTATAAAAAAAATAGCCTGTTTAAGTTAATGCAGTAGTTATTTTATTGATTAGAGAAATTAATCACCTCCCCGGAGCGCTATTACAGTAAATAGTTAATTTATGTTAAATCACATTGTCAGTAATTTTCATTAATTATTTTTAGAGTTATAACCACTGCGAAATATTTAATGAAGTTATTTATGATACATGTTATAAGTGTAGTTATGATTAAATAATATTTCGAGCCCTCATGTGATTTGAATTCAGTAATCAAATCTCTTCAATTTATTGAACAATTTATTGAATTGCTTACTCTGGAAATATGAAAAATAAATAAAATAAATAAACTCACCCTTCTCGGTCCACTAGAATCAGAGATAGAGAACGTATCAACAACAGAATCAAAACGCACTAATTTTTTCTGTGGCTTTTTCGGTCTTGGACACAACGAACACATTGCCGAATCCGGTGGAATGGTCGGGGGCATGATAATCATTAGTCCCTCAAATTATTCACATTACCAGTTCGAAGGATACAAATTCCACCGATATCGGTCTCCCAATTAATAAAATTAATTACTAAAACCAAGTACAGCCTGTCGACCATTCCATTTTATGTAATTATCCGTCTCCCTTCAGATGATTAATCCACCAAAGTACCTTTAATTATCAAATATTCTGCGACCCATCACCCGCAATAAATAATTCCATTTGAAATGAATATTAAAAATAAAAATCAATTCAATTGTATGCTGTAATGATAAATGAATTCTTAACCAGTTGATAATACCGTCTTTCCATGCTATATCATTCACCGATTAAAGTACCCCGAGCTTTCGTGCAAGTCGGTACTACAGAATGCAGAATACAGAGATCTACTCTTACTCATTGGCAACAAGAGAAACTCTATTTCGTTAACTCTTCTGTACCAGTTGCAAGTGCGCGGTTGTAACCCCTCTACTCGGGTCGCTAAATTTTGAATCTTTGCTTCTATTCGAAACTTTATACTCAACACGACATTGCTACAAACAGATAGCTGGAACAATACACAATAATTAATTGTCCTGATTAAACATATCGAAAATTAATTACTAACAAAAGTTATAAACAAACATGTTGATTGGTTCGCTGATTCATAATACATTTAATCCTACTAATTAACGTTATCTCCATTGGCACTCGGTACACTCTATATTGTTCATCAGTATACAATTAATCTATTATTCGTCAGTGATAATTCAAGTTTCGATAATACTAGATATAGAGTACACTCTATTGAAAATCTTTAGCTCTACGCCGTATATATGTTCTGCAGTTTCACTATTTATTCACCTGGCTAATAACTAAGCCCGACTATAATGCTGTTATATGGGTAGGGGCCGTTGGATGATAAATAAATTCCCTAAATCCTTCAGTATAAAGCGTAGTGACATTAAATGAAAAAAAAAAAAAAATAATAATAAAATCGAATTGAATCGAATAAATAGAGTACGGCCAGATAGATTTCAAGTTATCTTCTATTTGTTAAATAAATCATCGACTTAGTCTTTGGTTGACCGAATAAACCATTACGTTGACGGTGTAGGTCGATAGTGCTACCAACCAAGAAACTTACCACTCTCGTATTTCAATCCTGTTTTCGAGTACCGATACTATATTACATTGATGTAGATATATACATATATGTTTTAGCAATACTGATATGAATCTAGTATCAGCAAACGAGAATGTATGAATGAATGAGCCGCCTGCATGCCCTTTCATCGATTATTGCAGCGTCAGTCATTGTTATCAGCAGACTTGGTTATTACGGGCAGTTGTTTGTCAGGATCTATCAATTATGTGTTATTTCATTAAAAATACATCATGAGAGCTATTTTTATTTTGTTTATTTACGGCAGGTTTTTTTGAAGTTGATTATGATTGATTGGTCCGCGGTGAAATTTATTGGAAATATTTATATTAAGAGCCTTCAAGTCAACTATAATTGCATGCTGGAGGTATTTTTATTTTTTCCATCGAGAATTCATCGGAAACTGCTGTCAATTTTTTTTTTAGGAAATTTGTGAGGTTGCTGACCGGAGAAAACTTTTTATAGAATTTCTATTTAGAGTCTTATTAATAATTAGAGCGAATAGATATTTTCGTGAAGTTTTTGGCATTCAAATTAAATATCTTTTCTTTTTTAGAAAATTATTTATCAATTACTTTTACATTTCTCTATTTGGATAGAAAATAACCTCTTCTTTTTTACAGAAAAAATCTTCGAGTGTTACTCGACTTATTTGAGGAAATCTGGGTCATCACGAATTATTCTTGTGTTCTTCAACATTGCTCTGTTACAAGGTAAAATGTACTTTATCGAAGATACTTTAAAAAAAAAAAGTAATGAATGTAAAACTCGAGATCATTTCTTTTTTTTTTTCGCTTGAAATAAAGCTTCAAAGTAATTCCTAAAAGAAAGATTCTTCTATAGTAAAGATAGACATGCAAATCACTCCTATGTGAAAATTTTACTGACAGAAAATTGCCTTGATTATTTTTTGTTAGAATACTCGGGATTAACAAAGAAATATATGAAAATCCGATATATAATACGACTAGTGGTATGGATACGTAGTTTTACTACTCATGTTAAAAGCGCAAATTTTTATTTGAAATCGATCCGACAGGAGGAAATGCTTGAATTTTAACTTTTTAGCAAATATTACACGGTATAAGTAAATATTGGGAAAAATGTACTCATAAATTTAGATAGTTCATATTAATTTTTATGCTGAAAAAAAAAACATAGGCATAGCATACAGAAGTTGTAAATAAACAGTTCATTGAACTTTTTTTTCGTTCCGCGGTAATTTTTATTCAATATTACTTCAACCACAAAAATTTTCTCTCACATGAAAGTTATACTAATAAAATATTGAAAAATAAATTAATGTGGTAGTAAATTTATGATAAAAAACACTGACCTACTACTACTATACACGTATTATAAAAGTAAGCCGCCGTTACAAGTTGCCCCGAGAGCCTCTCTACGTTTTTCCCGGTGGAAATGTAAATCACTTAGTGATTCCGAAGTTTTAATTCAACTAAACTATTTTTAATATTCGCAACATCTGTTGCCCGAGAACTTAAAATTTTTTTTTATTCAACATAATATATAATATAATACCAGCACTAGGATAAAAACGGATAATAATGATAAACAAAAAAAATAATAATAAAAAGGGTGTTGTAATAAAATCCAAAGCTTCGAGACGAGTTGATTTGAAGTTTGAATCAGTGAGCTTTTTATGGCAAGATAAATCGTAAGACTGACGAGTCAAAAATCGCGTGGTAAATATTCGCTGAGTCAAGGATCTTGGTAATGCGGATGATCCATCGGATATTGAAGCTAGTGGATAGGAGTAGGATCCGCTTTACATTGAAACATAACTCAGGAATTTAAAATGTAATACCGAGATGAAACCGGCAGCGACAGCTCCAGACATTTTAACTTTTTTTTTATTACTATTATTTTTATGCTCACTGAATTCACCCGTCACTGAATTTTTTTTATCTTCTGTTTCTACTTCTACTACTTTTAAAAACTTACAACAAGGCACGTACTTATTTTTTTACTTTCATTCCATATCGCAAAAGCTAGAAATATTAGGATAAGTATGAAAAGAAACTGCTTGCACAAAAGCTCGGTTTAACATTTTTGAAACAACTTAAAAAAAAAAAAAAATGAAATTTCTCTATCTCCAGATTATATTCCCATCAGCCTACCGTGCAACCAAAAACAAGCTAGTTCCATTAATGTAACTCGCATGTTGTGTACTGTGACCCACTATTCGAATTAATGCTTAAGCACCAGACCTCGACTATAACTGCGTTTTACTTTTAAATTCGAAATTTTTACCCCAAACAAGATCAATAGAGCGCTCAAGGCAATTTTTAATTAAAAATGCTAGAGGCTTATCTGCACGAACAATGCCTTTTTCATTGTTCGTTCCCTGTTGACACACACACGTGCAATTATACACGTTCACACACGCAACGTTAAGTTTCAAACAGATAAAAAACGTTTTTTTTTTTTCTATACTTTTTCTATTTCTCTTTGCCAACAAACATGACACACTAAAGTCCAGAAAAAACACTTTTGTTTAAATGTATATCCGATTTAATACTTTGTTCTTCACAAGTACTCGTAGTAAGGCATTTGTTTCAAGGATTATCACGAGCTGTACTGTCTGACTATACAATTCTCTATTCACTTTACACTCATCTGCTCAATAATATCCAGCAAAGTTACTTTTAACACTAGACAAATATCAATCCAAATAATTTAACAACTCGATTAAAATTCATAAAAATCAAAAAAACTTTCAATAACTGGATTATCAACTAATTAGCATTTCACATAAATATTATATATCAATTAATAATAAAAATAATTATTATAATTTATAATTCATTATTTTTTATGTCAAATGTTAGCTTTTAATAATTTAATAAATGAGAACCAAATTTTCCTGATTAACTTCTAATTACTCAATATAATTAAGTACTTAGTAAAAATTAATGAATCTGTAAATGACTAAAATTATCGTAAATATTACAAAAACAAACACTGAAGCTTTTAATTACAAATTACCTCTGGATGCGATAATAATAATAATTAATAATTAATTACTATAATATCACATCGCAGTATTTTAATTAGTTTTCAAACTAATTAATATTACTTTTATTTTTATTTTTTATAAAATCACTGTAATTTTTGCGCATACAATTTTTCACCGAGTTTTGTTAGGAAATTTTTATTCTTGTTATTTTTTTGTTTCGAGAGAACCGGAAAAAAAAACGAACGAAAAAAATAATGATAAGCGAGACAAACGATTGAAAGGTAGTGCAACGGCGGCGATGCAGGTAGAACTGTTGCACGTGTTGTAGTCGCTCAGCTCGACCGGTGACGCAGAGGTCTTATTTATTACTACAAGTGTATGTGCTGCCACAGGCATTGTCGACGACCTAAAAATGACCCGGTTCAACAACAACACTTAACTTAGCTTAGCTTTGTATTTGTATTTGCTATAGATACTGCTTTCAAACTCAGTTAGATAAATTTTACGACTGGAATATCCGACAATGCTAATTTATTGTATCATTCTAGCCCGTTTTTATTGGCTATTTTTATTGTCTATCGCGTTTGAAATCTCTTGAGTCCTCGATAAACAAATAACAGTAAAAACAAATTTTTATTGCCAAGCAATTGCCTAATCAATAAATAAATTTTTTCATTTCTTTTCTTTTACTTGACGCTTGTGAAATAAATGAATTTCCATTTCATACCAATGTAGATTGTTGCGAGTGCGCTAATTAACGGTGTAGACCAAACAATTACTCTCAACGCGATAAGCAGCGCTGATAATATTTTTTATCCAAGGCTGCTCTGGCTCACTGACGATATACGTGCTGGATAAATTATGAGTTATAACTTACAACTCATAACTTTTAACCTACATATTTTATTATTTATGGAATAATAAAATTAACTATTTCGTTCATTTTCATTATTTAGTCCCATTGATTCGTTTCACTTTCAAATACTGTCATTTTGCCAGACTGGTATCTGATAAGGCAGAATATGCTGGTAAAGCAGAATTTCGGAAGGTAAAACGTCAAGAGCTTTCCAGCTGCAAGCACGAGCTTTTCATATTGATTTTCCGACTTCGCTTCCGGGAGGTACATGACGCGCGCTACAGATGTCGCGGTTGCGGTCCCGCACAGCGCATGCGCGAAAGTGAAAATTTTTTCAAGCCAGTAGTAGGAAATTTCATAAATTTGAATTTTTTTGAGTAAAGAGTGTTAAAAGCACTTACTTTATGGGTATCGTGGTTTGCCGAAATGTGAGGCGATATTTCGGAATGGATAACGCGTTCTACCGAACTCGGTCTTGACACACCGTCTAATTGCACTGCTTCCTTTATTTGAGGCGGCGAAGGCGGGGGTGGAAGCTGCTCATCTACATTCCTCGTTGCATGTCTTATTTTCTGAAAAATAAATTCTTAATTAACTTGAGAAAATAATTTTTAAATAAAATTTTCCACACATATATGTGTGATTTCTATAGAAATTATATAAATTCTATTTTAATTAATTTTCACAATTGATTTTTCCAATATCTTTATATTTATTTTGTCAATAATAATTGAGAGTAATTTTTTTTTTAATTAACAAAACTTGAAGTACAAATCCGAATAAAATCACGGATATTATTAATATTTCCGGTAAACAAAAGTGTATCAATTTTTTCTAAGCAAGTTACGTATAAAAATACAACAATATTTTTAAACAACAAATATTCCGACGTTAAAAATAATTTGCGTAAACAAATAAAGCTTTAAAATGTGCGTTAAAATATTATATTATAGTACCTAGAATTATGAATTTACATTAGGGGAATTTAAAAGCTTCTGTTTTTCCTCGCGTGAAATATTGGGTGTAAGTACGTCTAAGTATAGCTGTATAACAATAAACAATAACTTCCGGGTGCAGTAATTCAAATAATATGACTGTTAAGAATTTTCCACGTAATATTTTTTGACACTAAGTATCAAGTGCATAATACAGCAACATGACTTACACGGCAACATATACATAAACCATACAATCGCTCGTAATAACCGACACTATTTTTATCATCTGTACTCGACACATATAATAAATCCCTAGGATTTTTCTGTCTGCGCTTCCGGATTTTCATTGGCACTGCATTGACATAGTCGCTGAAACGACGTCGCGAATGTCGTACAATTGACACCCAATCTATCATAACACCCGTGAAGACGAATACCGCCTCGGTGGGGTGTAAATAATAATTTTTTTGTTTAACAACAACAATAATAATAATATCAGAAAAAAGATATATATTTCGACGAACCGGCAAAAGACGGGTTTTGCAATACACGTAAGCAGCTTGACTGACTTGAGGATTGGAGCACCAGCTTTTTTTATTTCAACGAGAAGGCTTAAAAGAGACTATTGTCAGAGTTGCTGATTCAGCTGAACATCGGTGTGAAGATTTACTTTTTGCTTTTGAATACATTTTTCTTTATAATGATTTTTTTTTTATTATTTGTTTCACTTTTATCAAGGCAATATTAAAAATTAGTAACTATCTTCATGGAAAATAAATATGTAAAAAAAATATTTAAACACATAAATTATTCTATAATTAAAAATAGATTAATGAAAAGCTTACTTAAAGTGATAATAAATTAAAAACATGAGTTTTTTATTTTTAGTTATGTTTCAGTTGTTATTCAATAAAATTTTTTTTTCATAGCTTCTCAATATTTTCAGTCAATACATTTTTTTATTTGTACATAAAAAATACACTGATAAAAAAATTAACTTTATTCAAAAGAAACAAATCTTGATCGGAAAAAATTATATTTGAAGAGTTTGATTATTTTGAATCAATCAGACAAATTTTTTTATCAATTAAAATTTACATGAACCAAGAACAATTCTTCAGTTCAAAAAGTCTAAGTCATTTTAAAATTAATTAAGTATGGATTAATACCATACAAAAATTTACTAAGTACCAGTAATCTGAATTTTCAATTTGGTGAAGTTTAGCCGCAAAATTCTGGTCCGAGTTTCATGAAAATTTAAGTAACAATACTATCGAGCATTGCACGATATATAACGATATTCTCGTTGCAACACAGTAGATGGCGCCGAGCAGGAAACTTTTTTTTCAACGTAGATATTACTTGTAACTTTTTCAACATTTTTGTTACAGTTTCTATGACATTAATGAAAAATGACTTTTATCGACTAATTAAACTACTATCCTCAATTTACACTTTTATTCATAACTTCTTGTAAAAACTTCAATTAGAAGTTATATAAAGTTGATATTAAATTAAAAAAAAAAATCGCAGCAATAACAACAATTATTAAGTGTCTGCGATAGCAGGAATTGAATGACTGGTTATTAATAAACTACTCGTGAAAACAATGAAGTTGGTTTAATTGTTCGAAAGCTTTCATTTAAAGCTTGCGCCGATGAAATACTGCTTACTGTGATTCTAAACTATAGACAGTTAAACCAATAGCTCTGTCACCAGAGAATTATATTCATAAAAATAATATTTATATTTATAATTTATAATAAATATAAATATAAAATCGAACTGTAATAACGCCTATTTCTCTCCAATTATAAATTTATGATAGTTAATATAGGAGGAAATATACGTAAATGCAAATACTTATTTGAATGTTGGTGAACGATATAAATCGGTATTGAATAGGAAAAAATAAAAATAAAATTTGGTGAATGAGAAAATTGATAAAGAATTTTTTTTAATTTGTCTTTTTTTTTTCTATTGCCCAATAGATACAATCGCGCATAGGGAAAAAAGATATTACGGTCTGTTCTGGTATTGATGCGGATATAATTGGTTCTTCAGTTGGAAAATTGCTCGTCGAACCACGATTTTTTTTTATACAGATCATTGAAAATTTTTCGAACTTTTTTTTTCAAAGGAAATTCCAATAAATCAAGTTCTAAAAATAGCTATTTCAATAAAACGGTGATTAAAATTCTGTTAATGCTGTGTTATAATCTTTTACTTGAAATAAATTTACTTTTTTTTGGTGAAATTAATTGCAGTTCATTTAAAAAATTAACTGGAAATATACGAATGGAAAACGGGCAATTGAAAATTCTTATGATGATGCCGATAGTTGCAAAGGAACTACGTTGTAGTTGATAACTTACCGACCCAGAGATAACTCGAGAGAAAAATTTGTCTGATCGCTGGGCTTTCCCGAGGTACAGAAGAGTTGCTATGCACTTGTGTGCTTATGTCGGTAAATTCGAAAGCTCGCACTAACGTTACAGATGATCGATATGAAATAAAATGACTAGCTGATTCTTGCTCAGTTTGTGAATTTGTTATGGAAATGTCAAAAAATTACCTCCTAACAATATGAAGTTAAGAAATTTTCTAATTAGAACGTCGATATATACACAATTGAACAGAGTACATGTTACAAAATTCATATAATTATGATAATGAAAAGACAATTTTTTTATGTCCCTAAAATTTTCACTGTAAAAAGGACGAGTTTTTTTTAGTACATACGCATCAAAGAGCACTTTAAATATCAGTTTTTTACGCAGCAGCACAAAGCGTCGAACGAAATATTGTTAAAATTACAGTTTTAAAGTAAAGCTTCATAACTTTATCAATTTTATTCACTGAAGGTGTATTTTCATCTGTGAAATTTTTTATTTAGAAGCATATTAAATTTTCAAATAGTTTCGACCGTATAAGTACATCGAAGATAAAACTTTTGATGTTAGAGAGTATAAATTTAAAAAATTTTAACGAAACTTAATATTCTGAACAGTAACTTTACTTCCATAAAAAAACTCAAATCATCATAAAAAAATCACGCGAAGATATTCACTTGAAAAGATCGGAATATTATTCCATAACTTGAAATACATGATAAACTTTCGAAAGGTAATAATATTTTTATAGCCTTTTCTGGGAAATACAACTGACTATTTTATCCAGATTTAATTTCCTAGTAATTATTTTGTGCGTAATAATAATTTATAAATTTCTGTTTATTATTATTATTTATGAAAATTAATAAAAATTTATTTCCTGTTTATAAATTTATTTATGAGTATAACGGGGTGATTTTACGAACCTGGTTTTGGTCTACCGGAGCATCAGGGCTGGCAGATCTACGATCGTAAATGTTCAGCAACGTTTGTGTCAATGGAAACGCGGAAGCTGGACCACCCTGAAAATATATGATGAAATGCATGATAATGATAAAAAAACTCAACATTGCAAAAACAAAAATAATAAATGAAAAAAAAGCACTGATACTGACAATGACATTGATTCTGTTTGTTAAAAATTCGTCTGTCGTAAACGTCAATTTCAATGAAACGGAAAAAATTTATCAACAATAAAAAAATGCCTGACATTTTATTTTACAAAATTGCCAAATGTTCCATGAGCATGACGTTAATAAAGTTAATTAATTAACGTGCTGCTGAAAAAATGTATTCTACTTAAATTAAATAAAACGCTTTAATTGACGAGCTGAGTTCAAGTGAATTATTACAAACTTTAATTTTAATTTTTCATGACGCTAGAAAAGAAACTCTACGCTGGGTGTAAGGAAAAAAATTTAATTACAGTAATTTATAGTTATTAATGTAAATTCATCAGGACACAACGCAGGAAAGGCACAGCGAAGAAAAAAAAAGCTGAACAATGATAAAGAACAACAATAACAATGATAACCTTTTTTATTTTTTCTTTCTTTCAACTGCTGACATTAATAATAACTAACTAATAAAATTTGACGAGATGTCGCTTTCTCAAACTCAAACTTTTTCGTTTTATTTATTCTGCGTGAGCTTTCGCACTTTAATTTAGTTTCCCCAGGATTACGGTCGGCAACAGCCACCGCGGTCATCAGAATTTATTTCATCGCCGACCGTTAATATTACTCACCTAAACACACCCGCATTTATACGCAACACAGTCACACTGTTACACAGTATAAGTGTAAGGTATCCATGAATTTTTTCCGCACATTAACTCATGTCTATCCAATTTCTTTGTTTAAAATTAACCAATGCCTGCGCTAAATAGAGAATTTATTTTTACGAGAAAAGTAACAGTTTTTCAATACTTTCACAAAAGATTCCATGAATTTTTTATAAGCACCCCTTTCACACACTCTTTAGTTCGGGTACTAAAAAAAAAGTAGTATAAAATAATAGAGTGTTGAAAATTTTCATCATGAAAAATCCTTATATAATAAACGCGCCGTGACGGAGTTTAAATCCAGCATGAATGTTTTCACGATAAGCTACCTGGTGCTTCTGGTGCCGGAGTATACCATATACATGTGGAGCTAAACCATCTCTCAACTATTTGTTCGATTACAAACAACCCGTTGAACGGCAGCATGAAACTATAACTCCCTGGGTACTGGCTGCTAGGGTGACAATAAAAAATAATAATAAAAGCAAAAGTAAAAACAAAAAATATAACATAAAATAAAATCCCCAGATGTTAGTATAAAGTGTAAATGCAATAAAATAAAAAGTATCACATGTCATGGATACGACCAGTACCATTCTTGTTAATCGGTATTAAAATATATATATATATATTTTTTTATTCATATATGTACCGGTTACACCAGAGAAGTCGTCACGTGAAATAAAATTTTAACAAAAATTTTGGTTCCGGATGAATTTCCGGGTGAACTTCAGATTGTGAAACAAATATGAATTTCATAATGAATTTCATCTGGAGTTCCAGATGAATTTCATGATGAATTTGAAACAAATAGTATATGAAACTTAATTTTTTTAATCAGTAAAAAAATATTTGGAGAAAGATATATTGGAATTTTTAGTGTAACTTACGCTGACTCATTATTTACGATTCTTAAACTTCTATCTGGATAAATTTTTAGGAGTACAAGAACACAATATGTAAAATAATAATTCGAAATTCAATATGAAAGTCAGCTGGAATTCCAGATGAACTTCATGATGAATTTGAAACAAATTTGTGTTCTTGTACTCCTAAAAATTTATCCAGATAGAAGTTTAAGAATCGTAAATAATGAGTCAGCGTAAGTTACACTAAAAATTCCAATATATCTTTCTCCAAATATTTTTTTACTGATTAAAAAAATTAAGTTTCATATACAGAGTGATTCAAATTCATCATGAAATTTATCTGGAATTCCAGCTGACTTTCATGATGAATTACGAAATATTATTTTGCGTATTGTGTTCTTCTACTCGAAAAAATTTATCCAGATAGAAGTTTAAGAATCGTAAATAATGAGTCAGCGTAAGTTAAACTAAAAATTCTAATATAACTGTCTCCAAATATTTTTACACTGATTAAAAAAATTAAGTTTTATGTGCGATTTGTTTCAAATTCATCATGAAGTTCATCTGGAATTCCAGCTGACTTTCATGATGAAATTCATATTTGTTTCACAATCTGAAGTTCATCCGGAAATTCATCCGGAACC